CTCAATGTTTTCTTGTGAACCAGGATTCCACTTTGCCTTTCTTCAGAGAATACATCTAGTATATGCATGCGTTAAGGTCAAGCAGTAGTTAGAATACCACCTGTCTGTCAGGCTGTTATACTGTGATGGCTTGCATGTCACCATGATGGGTGAAGCTATGACATTAGTATTTCAAATACCAGCAGGGGCACATATTGTGAACAGGTTTCAGCGAAGCTTCCAGACTAACATAGAATGAAAGAAAGACCTCATGATCTACTTCCTAAAATTAGCCTACGAAAACCGTATGGGTCACAACAGAATACTGTCTGAATTACGTGTTCCGAACACATCGTCAGGAAGGGTCGGTCATTAGAGGAGGCCACCATGTTCGGTGAAGTAAAGGGCCAGAGAGGGCAAGGGAGACCCTTGGTGGTGTAGATTGGCAGAATGGGTTCACTAACATACTTGACCATTCCAGCAGTTGTGGGATGACATAGCACTGGAGAACTTTGTGTTCTGTTCTACATATAACACTATCAGGAATCCAAATCCACTTGATCTCATCTGTCTATCTATACAAGGCATCCTGGTGTGGCACTATAGGATAAGCACCGGACTGCTAACCACACGGTCGCTGGTTCAAACCTACCAACCACTCCCTGGAAACCATATACATGGTCGCTATGAGTTGGAAATGACTCAACGGCTTTTAGCAACAACAACGGTCTTTCTATACAGGAGAAATTATTTTATGAAAAATAATGAAATACAAGAATAATGAAAAACCAAGAAGGAAGCTTCTATTAACGGTTGCTTTACCCTAATATTATCTGTTAGAAAGTTTATGGGCACTAGAAACCACAAAATAATATCACTCCAGAGAATGGGTATATTTTAGAACTCATGGTGCTTCCTGAAGTTTCAGAATTCCAGTTAGGTATTCAGGGAAAATACAAACAGAATATGCCGTTTCCGGCGGCCCTCCTTCAGGTACGCAATTTGCGGTGCCCTACTGGTCTGGTAGCGTAGTGGTTACGAATCGGGCTGCGAACCTTAAGGTCAGCGGTTCGAAACTACCAGCTGCTCCGCGGGAGAAAGATGAGGCTTTCTACTCCCGTAAAGATTTACACCCTCGGAAACCCTGTACAGGGTCGCTATGGGTCGGAACCGACTCGACGGCACTTAACAACAACAACAACTGGTCCACGAAAGGAACTCTGGTAGCGCAGTGGTTACAAACCAGGCTGTGAACTGTAAAGTCAGAAGTTCGAAACTACCAGCAGCTCCGAGGGAGAAAGATGAGGCTTTCTGCTCCGGTAAAGATTTACAGCCTCGGAAACCCTGTATAGTGTCGCTATGGGTCGGAACCGACTCGACGGCACTTAATGACGACAACAACAACTGGTCTACGAAGGGCTCGGTGGGAGGGTGGCAGTTGGGTAGGGTGTACCATGCAGCCTTGGGCAGCTGCCAACTGTGGGCAAACTTTCCACGCGTGGGCGACCTGGCTCAGCGCTTCGTCTATAGCTGGGAAAACGTGTTAGGATGCCGTCCTGTACCAACCTGGTTACTGGGATTCCCAGTAGTAAAGTGAAGTACTTGAGGCTCTCCAGCACAGATAATGGCTACATTGACCTCCAGTTTAAGAAAAGTCCTCCTAAGATCCCCTATAAGGCCATTGCACTTACCACCATGCTCTTTTTGATTGGGCCTTTCTTATTATTATAGGCTCCCTCCTGCTGGCAGGCTATGTAAGCAAAGGGTGGGCAGATCGGACCATTCCTGCCCCGATCAATGGCATCCTGGTGTTCCTGCCAGGATTCTACCACCTTTGAATCGCCTACTATGCATCTAAAGGCTACTGGGGATACTCCTAGGATGACATTCCAGACTTTGATGATTAGCACCCACTTTGTGCCAGAGAAGAGTCATAGATGAGAATGAATCCAATTTAAGACATGGGGCCGAAACTAGCTAAGGGCTAAGGTACTCTGTAGTTTGCAGATGTTTAACAAAGCTATGGCCAGATCATATAGGTTTACCCCCAAGATGTTGACTGAGCTTGCAGGTAACTAATTAGGACATGCTTTATTTTTCATCTCCTGGACCTGACAAAAAAAAAACTTTGACAAGTGTTTCCACATGAATCTGTATCATGGAAGAATAGTGACGTTCATTGTATGAAGAAACAAGAAGCTATTCTGTAGTGGAACGTGTAGCCACCGTCCCTTTTAGAGTTGAACATTTCTTTTAAATAATTATCTTTGTCCTTTTGTTCTTGTGGCAAATGGAAAAATGCATTATGTATTTTTTTTTAAAGTAATTTATTTTGAAGTTAGTTAAAGTATCCTAACCACTACACTTACCTGTAGCTTTGTGTTCAAGTGGATGTAACACACGAAAATCTAGTGGGACACTAGATTGGTAAAAATCAAACATCAGTGTGACCACATGTAGCAGACATTTTTTACTTGCTTATTTACAGCACTAGGAATTTTTAAAACCTCCAAACAGATTTTCAGAGAGAGCTTCAAAAAGTTCTTGGAAAATTCCATGATTTTTTAAATGCCATTTACCACAAACATTTTGAAGTCGCATCGTAAACATTTTCTTTGTTCACCATTTCTGACCTGGCTCACTGAAAGGCTGGCTACATGTAATTTGAGCCATTCTTTTATGTCATGCCTTCCAGGACTGGATCTTAGGCAGTTTCCTAATGAAGAATAAGTAGTTATTATCTGGAGTTTTACACCTTATCATTAGCTGGAGATCAGAAGACAGCCTAGATCACCACAGAACAATCAAATTCCATTTGATTACGTTTCCTAGCTTGCAAAAGTGGCATATTCAAAAGAAATTAAAATGTCAAATTCTAAGTCTCAGACTTAAGATGAGTTAACTTTCAACATATTTCAGAAAACCTCTTCATGACTCTGTAATACCTTTGATCCCAGTATGCAAGGCTCCCATTATTTTTAGACAATCAGTGCTGCTGGTCAGAGACTCTGCCGCTCACTCATTCTTGGACTCTGAGGTTTTGGATGTGGACAGCTAGAAGACTGGTAGTGCCTTCAACTGAGATTTAGAAGGTTTTGTGGGAAAGATTGTTAAATTTTGGATGCAATTAAATTTAAAATGTCTATCCACGGTACTTAACAACAACAACAACATTTGACACCCAAGTGGAACTGTAGTGTAGGCAGATCTTGATGTACACACTGGACTTCAGGAAGGAGTCTGGACTGGAGATACATACTTGAGAGTCAGTGTATGGATAGTACTTAAAAGTCGGGAAACTGGATAAGCTCACCAAGAGAGGAAGTGAGTGTACATGGAGAAAAGAAATAGAGGGACGAAGAAGGGGGGTGGTCTGCGGTAGTAGCCTCCAAGGTTAGGCACATTTGGTGATGGGAATCCAAGCCTCTCAAATGCTTGGGCCTTGGCAGTTAAAGTATGAGGAGATCTATTATAGATTGGTTATTGTTTACAAGGCTTAGACTGGAGGTTTTGGCCAAACCAAATTATCAGATCCTTTTTATAAAGGTAATGATGCTGCTGGTTAAAAAAAAACAAAAAAAACAGAAATAAAAGATTATAAAGTGAAAAAATATATATATACCACAATTCACAATAAAAGCTTTAATAGAAAAAAAAAGACTATGTTGATTTAATGTCCATCATGAGAGAAACAATAGTCATAATTGCTATTGTTGTTAAGTGCTGTTGACCTTGCTGTTCAAATCCACCTTATAGTCCAGTGCTTATCTTACAGTGCCACACCAGGACTCCTGTGGATATTGTTGTTTGTTGTTGTTAAGTGCCATCAAGTCGGTTCTGACCCATAGCGACCCTGGATAGTGTTTCCAAGGAGCGACTGGTGAGCTTGAACTGCTGAACTTGAGGTTAAAACCGACTTTGCAGTCCAGGGCCATACCAGAATTCCAGATGTAGGGGAGAAGAGGGGAAAACACAAGATGAATAAAAGCCAAGATTGTTGTTGTTGTTAAATGCCATCAAATTGATTCCGCCTCTCCTGGCAACCATGTACAGAGTTTCTGAGGAGTGACTGGTGGGTTTGTACTTTGTGGTTAGCAGTCCAGCACTTATCCTACAGTCTCATGATTTTTACAAACAAATGGGTGGCTGTGGTTTGTACACAAGTTCTAGAATGCAGAGATAGAACTACATAGTAAGCACAATACAAAGCTGTAAACTGAATTTCAGAGGAGAGGGGTTGAGATGGTTACTCCAAAAGGATGTGGTTTCTGGTTTGGTTTTGTTTCCTAATAGGAAAAACATAATATCACTATGAGCTGAAACAAAAAAGCCAGCATAGAGAGGTGATGAAGAGAAAGGGGATGATGAATCAGGTGAACCCTGGAAGAAGCAGGAAGAGCCCAGGCGGAGAGGTTGGCCTTGAGAAGGAATGGTGAAGCAGAGACACTCTGGGGAGAAAAACAAGGAAACTGAAGGAGCCTGCTTGCAATAGCTTTGACTTCCTCAGTCTAATGAGAAGCTATTTGGTTGACCAAGGCTGAAGGAGAAGTGGTCGTCTTAGGTGTTGTGGAAAATTTGGGGATAGCCATTGTGAAGAATATAAGTCAACCGGAAATGATGAAAAGATTTGGATGCATCACTGAGGCTGCATCTCCTCAATTTCTAATGGGACTGATAAAGACAGTTTCATGACTTCCTTCAGCAACATGGCAGTCCGGCACAGAAGCACAGCAATGCAGTTTGGCTAGAATGCGTGGGCTGTAGAAATCAGATAATCCTGATATCAAAATCTACATATGATTTCATTAGAAATTAGTCCAATAACGACATCATTACCTACAGATTTCACTGTATCAACCTGTTGCTTTCTTCTTAAATTTTATATTCAAGTCAGATGACTGTATTTCCATAAAGAAGGGGGAAACGTATCCTATACTTGAAATGCTAACAAATTAAGACGGGCTGTGAGAATTTCTCAGGTTACTAGCTCATACTTGTCCTCATGCATTGTATATTTTCAGATTGGAAAAACTGATAACATCCTTTTTAGAAGACCAAGATCCGGAGAGTAGACTAGAGGTCGGTGCAGATATGCGTAAAGTTCATCATTGTTTTCATCATTTAAAGGTAAATTTAAACATTTCCTCCAATAGAAGCCATATTCAAAAAGCTGGTTTTGTTTGGGGTTGTTGTTGTTAAGTGCTATAGAGTCGGGTTTCAACCCATAGCGACCCTGCATAGGTTTCCGAGGAGCAGCTGGTGAGCTTGAACCACTGGCCTTGTGGTCCAAGCAGACTTTGCCATCCAGCACATTAACCAACAATGCCACACCAAGACTGTGTGGGGTGGGGGAGGGACATTCAGAGATCACGTGTGTGGAGCTAGGTCTCAGTTTGCACAAAGCTGGTCCCTCATTTGCCGATAAATAAGCTGAGACCCTACACATCTCAGTCTTTTCCTAGGAATCTCTGCCTGCTGCAGAGAAGCTCTGTGCTCAGACACCACTTCTTTTGAAAAGATCTCAAAATACCTGTGTCCTAAATTTCTTACAACAGTTGTGATTTATCCATAAAATTTCTCAGGTTTTCTCTGCCCATGGTTTTAACTCTTCTGAGGATGCATTCAGAATATAATTACGTTTTCCTTCTACAATTGTATTTTGCATACTTCACGCAGATAATGAACATTTATTGTGAGTCTCCTATGGCTCAGGAATAGGACAGGAAAAGACAGAGACAAGTGTGACTAGGGCAGTGTGACTGAAGTAATAAGGTGTCATGGGGAGAAGAGTGAAGAAACTAGCAGAGGAGTCAAGAGGAGATCATCTTCGAGTAGGGATTTCCGAGTTAGGGTCAGAGAAGTGAGAGTGGAGAGTGAGAAGGAGGAAACAGGAGAAGAAAGGGCAGGCTGTGTGGGAAGGTAGACCAGGCAAAGCATCTGCACTGTTAAGACAGAAGGCATGAAAGGCAGACTTGCCTGATGTGTGTGAAAGGAGCAAAGACTCATGAAACTAGGAAAGGTGGAATCAAGTTATGGGTTATGGACACTAAGCTCTTATTTCACCTTCTAGAAACTGTTGAATGATAAGAAGGTCTTGGGGAAGAAAAGTCCAGTCTCCGCTGAAATCAAAGACCAAGACTGCCAAGAACCATTCAAAGAGGAAGAATATAAAAAGCTACAAGACATTCTAAAGCAAAGAGATAATGAAATCAGTATCCTTTCTAAAATGACAAGATGCCAGCTTGAAATGGGAGTGGGCACATTTAAGATATCTTCCCCCAGCAACACCACCCAGCTCCCCACCTTGCTCCAATTCACATGGCTTCTTTCCAGCTAGAAGTCAAACGTACCTCCAGCAAGCAAAATGTAATGGCAAGCGAAATATAGAGTTGCAAGGAAAGAAAAGAATAAACAAAACACAAACTTTATTTTGTTGTTGTTGCTGTTGTTAAGTGCCTGCAAATCAGTTCCTACTGATAGCGACCCTGTATTGGGTTTCTGAGGCTATAAATCTTTATGGGAGCAGAAAGCCTCATCTTTCTCCTGAGGGGCAGCTTGTGGCCTCAGACTTCTGACCTTGTAGTTCACGATGCAGTGCTTATCCTACAGAGCCAGATATAACTGAGGACAGCCAAGGAATATTTCAGTTTATTAAAATGTATGGACACTTTACATAATCTCTTAATATTGGATTTTTAAAATATACTTTTTGATTGCTCTGTGGTGGTGGTTTTACTTTAGTCTTGAGATAGTAAGTTAGCTCTCTATGAGAGGGATGGTTATCTTTAGCTAACTGACCGGACACCGGGCTGACTGCAGCCTCACCGTGGCCCAGAGCTTGTGGCTGACGTGTGGGTGAGACTTAAAATGATGACTGAAAAGTGACAAATGGTATTTTAGCTTATGAAGAGCAGAGAATTATTTAACTGTAACTTTTATTTAAAATCCAGATCTATGGCTTTGGGCTCCACATACAAATGCTCCCAGATTTGGAAATGAGTCTTTAAGATAGAATCCTTTTTTGCTCTGTTGTTGTTAAGCGCTGTCAAATTGATTCTGACTCATAATGACCCTGTATGGGGTTTCTGAATAGCACCTGGTGGATTTGAACCACAGACCTTATGGTTAGCAGTCCAGGGCTTACTCCTACAGTGCCACAACAGGACTCCATATCATGGGTGCAGAAACTATTGGCCACGTGTGGGAGCTCTCCTTCTGGCTCTTCAGAGGAGATGGTTAATTTTAAGGGGCCCCTGTTACACTAGGTAGATCTCAGGACTCCCCTATATTTCTTCAGTATAATTTCTTACTTTATCTTTTCAGCCTCTTGTAAAAGACTTGGCATTGTCATTACATTTGCAGACTTTAAACACACACACACAACTGTTTTGGTGACTTCTTTACAAACTTTTTTTTTTTCCTTTGCTCATTTTACAACATCACTAAAAGGCATTTTAGCTTCAGCTGTTGTGCCAAATGCATGAAAATAACCTACATGTAGGAAATCCAGTAATAAAGAGATAAAAACAAAGCAAATGCCAGGTGGGCACTCTGCCTGATTAACTTCAGGCTCTCATTAAGGTTGAGGCTCAGCAGACCCTGTCTGTCTGGAATCAAGTGAGTTGTAGCTGCTTTGTTATCCATGGCCAGTAATCGTAGGTTGGACTGTGAATTACACTCCCACACAAGCCCTTGTCTATGAGGGTCGTCTACAAGCATTGTCACCCCGTCATTCCTCTCTCTTACCCTATCCATCGCCAGGGATGGTCCCAGCTTGCACCTCAGTCCTGGCCCCAGCCCAGCCTGAGTTCTAGTGCTTTTCCTGGCCTCAATTTTAGTCTAGGATGTCACACCCTAAATACTCCTACCAACTTCTTAATCCCCTCCTAGGTTTATGGAAGCTTGTGCATATAGAAGGGGTGAAATGAGATATGGCAGAGAGAGAACAGGCCAGGCTTGTTCATACATGTTTATTTTTTTAAGGAGACATACATTGTCTCCCTTTATTACTAGGGTCAATCCCAGGTGCCACTGTACATGTGAGGCTATTCTCAATTCTTTGACGACTGAATAATCCAAACATGGTTCCGTGTAGCTGAGACTCATATTCTAAATGATATTGTGTAGGAAAGCATGGTGGGAAGAGTTCTGAACTTAACATTCAAAAACCTGGATTAAAATCTTAGCTCTTCATACATTATAACTATAATTGTTGTTGCTGTTGAGTCGGTTCTGACTCATAGCAACCCTGTATAGGGTTTCTAAGGAGCGACTGGTGAGCTTGAACGACCAACCTGCAGCATACCAGGAATCCTTTTTAGTCATTAGCTTGAGATAAACGTAAGTTTTGGAATAAGTCAATCTTACTGACTTATTAGTCAAAGATCAACCACTGGTCCTTATTCTCAGTTTACCCATTATCTGCATGAGGATATTTTCCATTATATAACATTCTATAGTTTTGGTCTGGCGCTGTGGGTTAATAATGCGCTGGACTGCAAGGTCAATTTGAACTGCATGTCGGTGGTTCAAGCTCATCAGTCACTCCTTGGAAATGCTACGAAGGGTTGCTATGAGTCAGAACCGACTCAAGGGCACTTAACAACAACAACAGCCCTGACAAGAAAGGTTCCTGTAATGTTAGTAACTCAGAGTCAGGTTGAAGGTCATTATACATCTTACTTCATGTAACCCAGAGGTGACAAGAGGAATGAGAAGATAAAGCTACCAAAAAACAACAACAAAAAAAGTAGTAATACTTGAGCTCAACAAGAGATAGTAATGCAACCAAAATGGCAGTGAACAACATTAATTGTTCTTCTTGGAAAGGGGCTGAAATGGTGGCATTGCTGTCATCGATAAATAAATCTCAGGCACCCCATAACCAAACATGCCATCCAGTACCCATTACAGGGCTTGGCACAGCCAAAAGCTGAAGTGAATGACCTTGGGGATGAGGAGAAGTCAGAGGAAAGGTGGAAAGAAGGAAGACTGCCGAAAAGACAGAGTTGTAGTTTGATCTTTATGAAATTTCATTGGAGCCCTTTGCTTCTCTGACTCAGACTCTCCTGGGCTTCCCGGGATATGTAAAATAAAATCCAAACTCCTTGCTCTGGTTGACAGGGCCCTCCTTGCTCTGGTTGACAGGGCCCTCCTTGCTCTGGTTGGCAGGGCCCTCCACGATGGTGCCCCTGCATTCCCCTCTGACTTGATGTCTTCCCCATCCAGCTCTTGCATGTAAAGCTCCAGGGACAGCGAGCTATGTGCTGTTTCTGTTACAGGATTTCTTGATGTCTGCACTGCTATCATTTTAGGCTGCATAATTTCATTGTTGTGAGGGTTTTCCTATGCACTGTGGGATATTTAACAGAGTCCCTGACTTCTACCCACCAGATGTCAGTAACCCTAACCTCCCTCCATTTGTGACAGCCACACGAGACATTGAGCTCATGGTCCCTGGTGGGAAAACTGCCCCATTTTGTGACCACTGCCAAACCCAACTCTCATGAGGGCTTGAACATAAGCCATTTCCTCTGACTGGCTCCTGCTGGTCACTCAGTTCTCAATGTAAATGCCACATTTACAAAGGCCTTTCTTGAGCACCCAAGGTAGAGTAGCCACCCAGTCACTCTGAGCCTTTTAAAAATCAGCTATCTAGAACAAGTCCTGGTGTGGCGAAACATTGGATTGCAAAGTTGGTTTGAACCACAAGGTAAGCAGTTCAAATTCACCAGCCACTTCTCGGAAACCCTGTTCAGGGTCGCTAGGAGTCAGAACTGACTCGACAGCACTTAGCGATTTGTGTCTGTGTGTATAACCTGCCCTTCCCTGGTAGAATGTCTGCTTGTTGATGTAACTAGCCACCTGCCTCTTCTCTGCCCTATCCCCTGTGCCTAGAATGTTGTTGTTCGTTGCTATCCAGTCAATTCTAACTGCTTCACAGGGCTTCCAAAGCAGTACCCTTTGGGAAGCAGATGGTCGGGCCTATCCTCCAAGGTGGAAAAACTGTAAATTCAAAGGCAATGGAAATTTTCCATGGACTTTTTGAAGCCCCCTCATGTGTGCATATATGTGTACAAACAGAGAGAGACATGTGTGTGTATAATAATTCAGTTATTTTCAGATCCACTTGGGACCAGAAGTACTTTGAGCCTGAAAGGAAAGTGAGATGCAGCCGTATTTGAGTGGGCTCTGAATAAGCAGTGTGTGTTAGACATGCACGGGGAGGGGCTGTGGCAGCACACTCATCACCACATTGTCACCAGGGTTGATCTGCCAGCTGGGTGAATTTTTCCATTCTCCCTCTCCTCTCTGCCACCTCCTGAACAGCTAGATGCTCAGCCCAGGGCATTATCTTCCATATCATGAGATGGCTTAACTCACAGCTCCATTGCCCTCTGAGAGCTTCTCAGTGTTCATATTGCTTTTTATAAATCCATACAACTTTTAAAACTTAACTGGGTTAAACTTAGAACAGGCTTTGGGGTTTGAGAATTTTTCATCTAAAGGCGCTGCTTTGCATGACTAGTAACCTCCTACATTGTCCATTACTGCATATATGTTTGGCTTCAGAAAGTTGAAGACTTCCTCTAATTGGTTTTTGTTGTTGTTGTTAAGTGTTGTTGAGTCGATTCCGACTCATAGCGACCCTGTACAGGGTTTCCAAGGAGTAGCTGGTGAGCTTGATCCACCGACCTTGCAGTTCAAATGACTTTGCAGTCTGACACATTAACCCACAACACCCCACAGGGACTCCAAAGTTTCTCTGGACTCTAGAAACTCACCATTGTTATTTAATGTTGTCAAATTGGTTCCGACCCATAGCAACCCTATATAGGGTTTCCAAGGAGTGGCTGGTGAGCACAAGCCACTGGCCTTGTGGTTCAAACTGACTTCACAGTCCAGTGCATTAAGCCACAGTGCCACACAATCTGTCTTTACCACATGCCAAATAGCAAACCTTCCTTGGAATATTAATCTCATTTGAATATCAGTGTAACGATCATTATCATCTAGCATGAGTCACTAAATCCTTAAGTCAAGTTCCAGATATTTTGGTCAATATGTTAAAAAAGGAAAAGAAGAAAACTCAGGATGCCCTTGACATACCTAGTATGGATAGACGTGCATTTCGACACTCACAGAGTGCCCCCTTCCCACCTGGGAACCAGGTGGAGAACCAGAGGACATGGCTAACCTCCGCTTCCAGGCAGACCCCGGACGTCAGCACTTACCAGCACAGATCCAGTTTGCTCCACAATAAAACAGGTCAGTGGACTACATTTCCAGTCTTCTGCTTTGTCAGTCATGGAGTTCAATGTCACATCTTTCAGTGTTAAATGTGCAGGGGAAAAAGCTCTCGCAATGTATTTGGTAGAATCATTTTTCATAACTATCACATTTTTAAAACTTTTTATTGTGAATTGAGTGAAGGTTTACAGAGAAGATCATCACTTTCACATTCAACAAATCACACACTTTGTTTCATCTCAATGATTGCAATCTCCTCCCTGCAACAACAGCTGTC